CAGTAATAAGCTAAGAACCTGAATTCTTTTCAAGGTATTCATCACTCATTAGAGTCTATATGATGCACAAATGATGAATGAAGTGGAGGATTTTTCTCGTGAGTTTTATATTTTAACAACTAAATTCTATACTTTTAGGAAAATTCAATAAATATAAATCCTTCTCATTCATTAAATTGGTCATCACTATATTTAAATTTTTCTGCAATTGATCGAAATGAATCTCAATCAACATTTGATCAATTTAACATTGATTCATCCATCATTGGTGTACTTAAATATGCTCCTTATTATTTATGTTTAACATATATATGTCTTCGTTTAACATATTTATCTATCTCAAAATTCTATAATTTATTCTATTGTTGTAATAGAGAAATGAATAATTCTCAAAAACAATCACTAAAACATATATATCATGAACCAGATTTAAATTCTTCTCAAAAATTGTCAGTTGAATATCGTTATGTTCGTCATTTATTTCAAAAAACAAAACGTATATTAATAGAAAATAATAAAAAAATTTCCTTTATTAAATCATTACTTTATAAAATTTATCGTCCAAATAAATATTTTCATTATTCAAAACAAATATTAAATATGTATATGATTGCATTTATGTTAACTTATTATTTAACATTTAATATTTTACAAGGAGGTTTTTATATAATTGAAAAAATTTATAGTATTTTTTCCATACCATTAATTGTTTTGACGGATGAAATTGATTTACCACAACCAAAACCATTTAATCTTAAATATGAAATAATAATAGCTTGCTTTTTAACAGCTATTATTTATTATGGACAATTATTATGGGGAATGAAAAATTATCAAAAACATATGCTTGATGTTTATAAAGGTAAATGAATATTATTTTTTTAATATGGGAAACAAAAATAGTGAATTTTTTTCAATAGGAAATTTTATTGATATACCTCCACGAACAGCATTTAAAAGTGCTCGACTTATTTCACAACATGCACATTATCCTGGATATTGTCTTGCTTATCTTGGTTTTGGTTATATAACAATGGGAAATATACTTTTTATTATTATTATTATTTTTCGTGTTATATTTAAAAATTTATTTCTTGTCGAACAAATTGCTAAAGTTGTTATACCAATATTAGTTATTTATTTATCAAAATGCATATTAATATGGTTTTTATCAAAAACATTCTTTCTACAAAGGTAAGGCACTTTTAAAATTTATATGTCATAGATAATCTAAATAAATTAAAAGAAGAACTGATATAGAATATGATTCAATCAATAAAGAATATCATGAAGAATTCTTTGATTTATGACATATTGAAGAAATAGATACGATAAATGACTGGTTTGAAATTTTTACAGATGTCAATAATTTTACGAACTATTTCCAATTAAATTACAGGGTTCGAATCTTTAAGTAACAGTCTATTGAGATGAAAGTAATGTGCACGATAAGCTTTCTTCGTATCCTGTACTTCGATTGAGAAAAATCTTCTTACCTTTATCCTACTCTACCTTGTAAGGTATGGTAGGATAGCTCTGCATATCTCTAATAGAAACTAAAGATACATACCTATTCAATGATTCAATAATTTTGTAAAATAAAGGTATCTATTTTAAAGTTCATCACGATTCTCTCACATATTTATGATTTATCGAAAAATTGTTAATATGAAAAATATAAGACTTTTTTTCTAATAACTATCCTTTTTAACGAAAGAGTTGTATGAATACAGGAAAAGACATTGCAATTGTTCTAATGTTCTTTTTATTTTTATATCATACTAAGCGCAATAAAGATCACGAAATGATTTGAACTAAAAACAATATATATTTTCTTCTCTAACATTCATCCAAATTCTAGTTTTCAACCAGTGAAAAAGACCTAGAAATGCATTTGAATGCTCAATAAAAGTATTTTCTTTCAAGAGGAATATATTCCGATACACAATTGGCGACGATCGGACAATTCGTTACAAGTGTGTATGTGAATGTCGGTGTGAGTAAGAATCTTCTATGTACCTTCATTGACATACTCACATCCATCTACCTTCGATGCTCCCTTAGAATACTTTAAGACTAATATGTTATGCGACGAATTGTCCTAGCACCATAATATCCATATAATTCAAGTTAGAAAAAATAATCATTGATTTATCATTCAACATAATATGCACTCTATCGTGAGTAGTTTTATACTTAAAATTGTAGGCTATCTCATTATGATTGCCATTCTACAAATTAAGCTAATCTTTTGTTTTGACATTATGTTTGATTGAAATTTTTCTTAAATTTAGACACGGAGAAACAATAGGATTAAACAATCTTCGATCATTTTTTGTATTTGCTTATTTTAATTTTTTCTTCGATTGTTTTCTTGGTATTGTTTCATGTGGTCTTCGTGTAACAAAAGCAACGATAGCTGCAATCCTATTTTTTCCACGATTAGATTATTGTATATTTGGACGTACATTAGAAAAAATGGATTCAGGTTTTATATCATATGTATCATTTATACATATGGAATGTCTTCATACACATCCTGTACTTGTTTATTATTGTTCATTAGTTAATGATAAAATTGATAAACGTTATGAATATTTACGATCAAATAAACGAGAAATGCGTCATACTGAAATGTATACATACACACGTCGACAACGTGCAATATTTCGTTGGTGGTTAGCTTATACATTAATACGAAATATTCACTTAGTACAATTAAGAAAATATCAAGTTATTAATTTACAATTACCATCAGCAGAAAGTTTTAATGAATTTTTAGAACGAAAAGTTTTTAATCGTTTTCAAACAACAACATCAACAAAAGTTGCATTAACAAAAAGTCAAGCAAATTTACCTACAGGAGGAATTGTAAATTCGAATACAATTATTCGAAATCAAACAACAACATGTACTAGTTTATTACTAGGTGTTGATGAACACGATGAACGAAAACCATCATTTTAGAAAAAAGTTGTCTTTTTTTACTCTTTTTTTCAAAACAATTAAGGCGAATTCTTCCTTTTAATCAGTCTTTCAGTGATATATAAAAAGTTTGCTCAAACAGAACAGTTCCAACTAATGTTTAGAAAAATGTTTTCAATCGACGTTTTTAAAATAAAATTTCTTTTTCTGCTGTTGTTTTGTTTTTTAAAGACAGTATTATTGTTTAAAAAAAAATAGCTCGTACTTTTGCAGCCTTTTTTCTTCTAGCTCTTTTTCGTTTGTTTTTGTTTTTTTTTGTATATAGGTTTTTTGTGTTGTTTTTTTTTGTTTAATTGCTTTTTCAAATTCATTGTGAGAATGTATGTGTGTGTGAATTTTGAGTGTAGCCTATTTTTGACAAAGAACAGATTAAAAATGCTTTGGCCATACTTGTAGTAAGCCAAATGTGATCTATATTCATGTTTTTTTTTCAATGAAGGATAGTTCAAGATTCTAACTTTAAATCTGACTTGATCCATGGGAAAAAACATTGTTTTGTGCCTGTTTTAGAGACATATCAAACATAGCCAGGAGTATAAACAATCGACTGAGTTGCCGTCGTCAACGCTCTAGCGATCCAGCCGCGTCATCGCCGAAGCATAAAATTGATCATAGATTATTGGAATTTGTCGACATGCAGGATCTTTCTTTTAGAGATGTTTTTATTTTGTTTCTTATCATCAAATTCTCTATCATAACTTTCTCCGGTTCTTATTTTAAGATTTCATATGGAAACAAGTGAAATTTTTAAAAATTATTGAAATCTCTCAGCCGTCGATTAATGCATTGTGTTATACCTCTAAATCTATTTTATTTTTAATGACGATTTCTTGATTCCAATCCAAAATACTATAATTATTGGAAAGTTTTTCTTGAGAAAATTTATTCGAAGTCATTGATTGTTAATTTAATGTAATAAAATAAAAGTAGTGAAGATGAATAGCGCATGTATGAAATCTCAAAAGGTGATAATCAAACTTTATTTAATGATAAATTTTAAGTACATTGATATCTTAAAATCGAAATAATATTTCATGTTCAAATATAAATCAGTGACAAGAAAATGAAATGGTAATTAGTATTGTAAAATTAACTGTTTAATAATCTATTGGCATAGCTTCACATATAAATGTGTTCTAGTCGTAATTTATATCATGTTTATATATAACTTTTTTATTCATTATTCTTCTGGAATATTTTATATCAACCTATTGTTGCTCTAATAATACTTGTCCATGTTATTTAATAATGAATGATATCATCGATTTTTTAGATCAATGTCAAGGGAAATCTTTCATATCTTGATAAATTCAAACAAATTTATGTATAATGGAATTTTAACACTTGTTTCTTTATATTAACGTTGAATTTGATCCAAATCTTTTGTAAATTGTTTTCGCACTCAAATCCAAATAATTTGGTGTGAAATCATTTTTAATGAAATTGTCTTCACTAGAGGATTTGAAAAAGAATAATATTATTAAAATTACGAAATTCTATATTTTAAAGATTGAGATATTTTTCTCAACAAAGATTTGTCATTAAAATCGAGTATCCAAAGAATCATATTGACAAACTATGTGCAATGGGTGAAAACTCGTTCTTCTAGCATCATTCACCATTTAAGAAAATATTAAATCATTTGCAATATTTCTTAGAATAATGTGTGAACAGGCGATTGAATTAAGTATGGAAGACTGACGTTTGCAAAAAACAAAATAAAAAGAAAGAAAACTTCTGAAAGTTTCTGTAAAGATCGCAATCTTCTTGTTTTTTTTCAAAAGAGATATAATTGAATTAATAGATCAAGGAGTATTGACTAATCAAGTATTAAAATAAACATGATGGAAAATATTTCTATTCCATCAATTATTTTCTTTCTCAGGATGTTTTTCATTGATAAAAAATCGAACGGCATTGAAAAACATTGTTTTAATCCTTAATTATATGCGCCAAATGTGATTAAAACACACATGTTTACTCTAGTTTATTTTCTAGTTTTTCAATTTACGATTATGATTAATGGCAAACAATATGCTATAATTACAGCTGATAGATCTCAACCGGTTGACATAGAACCACTTGTAATCAGTATTCGCATTCCAGATATTGATGTTTGTCAAGACATTACTACTAATGATTGTAAAATTTTAATTCATCAAATGTTAAAATGTCAACAGATCATTTTTAACGACCCTGGATTTAGTTATCAACAATATAAAGGAAATATTAATGTACATCAACAAATCCTTGTTAAATACCAATCAATGTGTGAAGGTACACAAAACGATTATATAGTCAATAATTCATTTGATTTTATAAACGATTAATCATGTTCCAATAATGACTCATCTAAAATATGCATTTATAAAATTTGCTTCCAATAAACAAGATATATGATATCAGATTATTCAGGAAATATTTTTCATTTTTTCAAAGATGAGTATAATTTCTCTGAAAAATTTTTATATAGAATAAAGTTGTTTAATATTTTCAATGATGCAATAAAATAAAACTATTCACATATTCAAAATTTCCTGAATATTATTCATTTAAAACTTCTTGATAATGAAATACGTTTTTTGTTTATCATATTTACAGATATTAGACAAATGTATTGTTATAATCCAAATGAATGTGACTATCATATTCGCCGAACATCAAGGCTTTTTTTTGTACTATTTTCTTATCGTTAAAGGGCTCTTCGATATTTTCTTTTTATTATAAAAGCCTCTCTATAGACCCTCGAATGCAAATAATAGAATAAAACTTATATACCGAGTTAATCAATTGAAACCCAAGGAAATTTAGAGCTATTAAGCTCATTTTTTGATTCAATTATTTTTGTATAACGATTGTTTTGATCATAATGTCTGCATATATTTCATGGTGAACAACACTAATTTAGCCATCATAAGCAGATATTCAATTTATTGTCTACACTCATTTTTATTCATTTGTACTTACTATGGAACAATATCAAATATCTTTTGTTTTATTGCATATATACACCAATGTTTAGTAGACATAATCAAAGGTAAATACAGCTTGTCATTCCCTAAATATGGCACCTTACTGTGATAAAATATTTTACCATTCGTGAAAAACGAGACAGTATATATACATATGGTAAAACCATCTATTATCATTTGCCGCAACAACAATAACCACTCCACTGAAAAAAAAAATATATGAGTGAAAGAAGAAAAGAAAAGAAAAGAGAAGGACTATTCGTTCAAGTACTATATCATAAACAGCTGAAGCTTTTCATTCTCTCTCTATAGTCTCCAACATCGAACTAGAATAAAAGTAACAGAAGAAAAAAATCAACATAGCAATTTAATATTTTAATATCCCTGGAACGAGTAAAGAAAAAAATGTAAGATACTAATCAGTCAACTATATATATACATATATGCATAAAGAATATAGTCTTAAAAAGAAGGTTTCAAAGACGATGACGAGAGAAGAAAGCATTGGTGCCGACGGCGATATTTTTCTTATCGAAATCGAAAAGAGAGTATATGTAGGTGTATGTAGATGTGTTTTGTATTTCTTTCAAAAAAAAAAAAGAAGAGGAAGAATAACTCATGTCATTAACTATTTGACGTTCTAGTTACGCGAATAGACGCAACAACGACAAGGATAATATTTGAAAATAATGGTCGTCATCATACGAAAACTAGAGGTTTGTCTCATATAAATATAAGAGTATAACAATGTAATATATTAGTTCTATTATCTTTGCTTGAGTATATCTATCAAGATAAATGCATACATCGAAAAAAGAAATCGTAAACAACTAAAATTTGCTATGGAAAAAAATTGAAAGCTAATGTATTCTTTTGTATGTTTTTCATCACAGTCATGATGATGAAAAGAAAATATTTCTTCGTTCTGTAATCTATATTAACGTATCTAGCAAATATAAGCACATTATTTTTATCATAATATACCATTTATTCTTGCTGGTCAAAAAGGCTTTGGCTTTTATTTGACATAAAAAAGACAGATAGTTAGTCTATCAAAATGGCATTCTTGCATACGATAAACATTCATCTTGAGATGAGATATAGAATTCTAAATGCAGAATCCTTTAGGTTATAGTTTGACAATATGTTGTTTGTTAGAAGAAGAAGAGAGAGAAGAAAAGAATACAAGACAAGAAAAACGAGGCCATATGCCTGTTTAAAGAGCTATTACAAGTGTGAAATGGATTAGACAAAGACCAAGTAACTTTTTACAGTTCGAGTGTATATAGATATATACACCCTGTGTTGTCAGTATTGCATATTTGTTTTTGTTTTGCTTGTCTTCTATATTCATACATGCTATTGCTCTTATTGTTTCTCCGCATTAACACAGCTTGCTGATATATATGTTTCTCGCTCTTTCGATTGTTTTGTATCTTTGGACTAGCATCATCATAGTGGCTTAGTTATATGCGTGTGTGATAGCGGCTACCAAAGACTAATTTAATCGAATGATACCGAGCCGTAATTTGGGTGGATTCTATACGTCATTACCAACGGACAATAGAAGAACGTATTCAACACCATTAAGAAGACATGTACGTAAGACATAAAGATATATGCATTATTTTGAATTGAAAATCATGAATAACTATCTTGTCTTACATCTGTTATTATTGTATTGATGATACATAACATCATCCATTTCTTTCATTTATGATCATGTTGCCCATGAGCTATATATCATAAAATTCAATATTTTTTTTTCATCTTTAGACTCCTTTTTTTTTATTCTTCGTTACACCACTTATCCACCTCTTCTATATGTTTATCGTATAATCACTAATAAGACAACGTATGTCTGCCTAGATATTATTTTTTTAAGTAGTATTTTTTGCATATTTATAACAAGTATGAGAAAATTCGACACATTTATTTGAAAATATCTTTTTTTGTCAGTAATATAAAAGAAACCTTGCACTTTTGCAAGTATGCGTGTCGATATGTTTGTGAAACAGTAGATGTTCGTTTTCATGTAAAGTTTATCTCTTTGTCTTTTTCTCTCTCTCTCTCGTTTTCTCTTCTTCTCGTTTTTTTTTTGATATAATGATTGACGAGGTAAACTCCTGTTCCAATCTGCACACTTTAGACATTTTATAGATATAAAAAAAAACTACGAAATAGAAGTGTTAATTTTAGTCATTGATCATATGTAAAAGAGTAATATAACTTGAATTTGTTCGTCTTTGAATTTTATTGATTTATTTGTTTATTTTAGCGACAACATTATTTACACGACACGAATTTTCTTACAGGCAAGGCCTTTTCTTCTCCTCTCTCCTCTTCTACACAATCACCTTCAACATCTATTCCAACAGTAATCACGGAATCATTATCAGAACAAGATTGTGAACGAACTGAATCTATAAGAAAATCACCATCTTGTTCTAAAATGTCCTCACCACATTATCAATCATCTATTGATTTAATGGCATCATCATTAGCATGTGATGAATGTCAAACAAACGATGGTCTTTTTCAATGTTGTCATTGTAATCAACGTTTATGTATACGATGTTGTAACAAACATTATAAAAATGTGACTATTGAACTTGAACGTTTACATGAACTAAGTGATCGCCTTGTGGCAAAAATTGTTCATACAAAAAATGATCTTGAACGACAAAAAAATGAAACACTTGAACAATGTCATAAATGGCGTATTGATACAATCAATACAATTAATAAAGCACATACACTTATTGTACAAACAATTCACGATGAATATGAAACACTTGGAAAAGAATATGAATTATTTGTTCAAAAAGAAATGCAATATATACATATGGATCAAAATGAATTAATCCGTATGAGAAAAGGAAATCTTGGTTCAGTTTTATCAGCATCATCTAATTCAACAATAGATTCAGCAAATTCAATAGATACAATACGAAAACGTATCGAAACATTTGCAAAAAATATTGATGAAACAGGAAAATTTTTATTTCAAGTTAAACTACCTAAATTTGATATTGATGATAATCTTCGAGTTGAATCACGTTTTGGTGATGTAACACGTAGTACAAGTGCAACATGGCAAAATGGAGGTGATATACTATCTCCATTATCTAATGCTCAATCTATTCAAGAAGATGAATCGTTCACTAATGTTCAATCAACTGAAACTGATGCATCATTAGGTAATAATAACAATGATAAAATAATCAATACGAATGATGTCATTGAAAAAGTATGGGATAAAGTAGATGAACAGGTTAGTAAGAAAGAATAAAAAAAAACAACAAATGATTTTTGATTTATTGAACTCGTTTAGAAATCTGATATTGAATCTCGGACAGTAAATTCATTTTCTTTATCTTCTCCTTCAAAAATCGAAACAAATAATAGTAATTCAACATCATCTCCATCATCACGTTATGCTCTATCGGTTGAAAATGATATTGAACTTCAACAACAACAATTCTATTCACCAAGCTTTCGTGATAATCGTTATGATAGTGCATATGGAACAGCTCCGTCTTCACCAAATAGTTCACAACAAAATCATCATGATCATTATTTTTCAACATCATCACTTCATGAACAACCATCTAAAAAATATTCCTATCCATCAAGTAATGAATTCGGTTCATTTTATAACAACCGTCGACATACACACGCATTTCAGAGAACATCTTCACCCCATCCATCATCATCGTCGACCTTTGATAATAATAATAATAGTAATAATGATGATGACGACACATACCGCAGTGTACAGCATGTTCAATTAAAACGTGAACAAGATGGTTCACTTGAAGGTATAGCTATTCAAATCGAACAAAGTCATAACACAGATGGAATGATAGATAGACGTCGAACTTGTATGCAAGCATGTGGAATACGACGGCGAACTACTATTTTACCCCCTCGATCTCCATCCTCATCATCAACAGCATCAAATACAGATCAGTTTTCTTATGACCAACCTTGGCTTTATTGTCGGACTAATTCAACCCCTTCGTTCACTCAATAGAAACATTACAATTTGTTCTTTTTGTCACATTGCACAGCACAAATTTTAAGACATTCTTCAGTATCCATTCAAGAAAACACATCTTATTAGTTTTATATTTTGGTTTGCTTTATATTATTTGTTTTATTATAAGTAGAAAAAAAAAAGAAATAAAAGTAACTTTCTATTATTATTGTCTGAAAACAATATAAATACACTTTATACATTGTTCGTTGATGAAGATGTTATTTAAAAAACAAATTTCTCAATATGATTAATTAATTCAAAACAAAATTATATTTTTCTTTTATCGCAACCTATTTGGTTTTATTGTTTTGATAGG